GCTTTGAAGTCAAGGGCATAAGAGCAGCTTGATGTATGCACTCAACTATAATGACAGATTTTTCACTTCAGAGCAAGAATGTTTCATTTCTAAACACTTTGTGCTCTATTTTTGTTTGTCTTGCAGGCTATTCTAGGTTCAAGGGGCTGGAGCATCCAGATGGCTACAGCGCGTACGCGGATTGCATGTGAAGTACAGAATAAAAGTATACAACTGAATTTGAGCTCTTACCGTCTATGCAGCAACAGTCTTCACTATTGTTGAGAGGTGTACGGGAGGAAGAAGAGACTGCAACCAAGTCAAGGTCACGAGTTCACTGAATACAACCATTTTAGCCGAACCGAGAACAGACGGTTTTTGACAATGACACAATAGGACACCATCAGTCTGTCTTGAGATGAAATCAAAATGACAGAAAAGAGCAACTTGGTCAGGCGCATGAGCCTTCAAACCATCTGAGTGGCAAAAAAGTATCAGTCAATAAATGAAATGAGCTGAACATATATATTTTTTCAGTCGGCGCATTCATGGCATGTTGGTTACTACAAGCGTTATATTACGCTTATGCTTAGTTACGTACTTTTCAGTGTCACTGGCTAAATAAAAAAATTAACATCATTTTAACAGTAATAAATGGTATGGTAAAAACTTGTCAATTGGTTAGCGGTAAGTTCCCTTAAATCTTAAATGGGTAATTTCATGTAATATTACAGTAAAATACTGTTAAATGTAGTTTTTGTAAGTGAACAAGAATAATTAATCTAATAATTTACAGTGAAAAAAAACATAAATTGACATTCCCACAATTCTCTGTGACAGCTCACATTTAGTTTCTGCTTCATTTTTTCTTAGCAGTTAGGGTTTTATATTACATTCCAGCTAACAAAAATGTGTTCTAAGAACGTTTTGCTAACATTCCCATTAAGTTATAAAAACTTTTTTTTAAAATGTTTTACCAAGTTTTTTTCAGTTATGCAAACGAAAAGAGAACAGTTCGTTTTATCATTTTACAAACATTGAATGTTAGTTTTCTGAAACAAGTATTAACATTTAAAAAATGTTAGATGAACATCCAACTAAAACGTTTCGGGGGGAAAAAACATTCCATGAACAATGTATAAATAAGGTTATTATGCTAATGTTTTGAGAACAGTATTAAAGACCAGATACATTCGAACAAACATTGTATTAATGTCACTGGAAGAAAGTTCATAACTTTGAGAGAAACTTCTGAGCGTTCCCTGTTAGCTCGGATCTTGTTAAATTAATGTTTAGTGCATTATTTTAGTGTTGTGTGTTACTATGATGGTGTTCTTGTGTATATCACATGTGCACCTTCAATATGTTAGTATTTACCTCAGCTTGTGGAAAAGCTGTTTGTGATGAACTTCTTCCTGTGCCTTTCTCTTTACCATCTGTGTTTTTAAGTTGGTTGTCAGTATGTTATACAGGTAAAAACAGATTTTAGTAATTATTTCAGTTAATGAAATATAAATGTTTTATTTTGAAAATTTAAGTTCAGTTCAACTTCAAATGTTGCTTAAAATGTGGAAAAAGTGCCCAATGTTTTCTACTCGTTGTAAAGCAGCAAAGGTGTCCTTGCCTGAGTCATCAGGGCTTAATAGAAACGGTGCGGAAAACTCTGTGCATCACATTCGAAGCCTCTTAGTTTGTCATTGATTTCTGCTTATCTGTGATGTTTCAAAGGGGTTTTTGTCTTTGTAAACAATGCTTTTATAAGGAAAAAACATTGATGTATTGAAGAAGAGGGGAAACATCCAGGAAAACCGTCCGTCCTTGAGTTTTCCTTCAAACTTTCCCTGAAATTGACACTCCATGTAGGAATTCCACCGTCTAATTATGTCTCTTGTGGAGAGGTACGTGAGTGCTTTGTAAAACAGCAGCTGATGCTTTGAACCGTGTGCATGACGCTGCTAACTTTGATGGTGAGTAAGCGCAGTGGACACACGTAAATCTGATGGTGCCACTAATGCCTGTTTAAAGTTTCCCTTTATACAATTGACATTGTGCCTTAATTGATGACTGAATCTGTGTTTGCTAACGAAGAGTAACGAAGAGACTCTATTTCAACAAAGCCCATCTGATACATGATAGATCTCCTCTGAGAATGAGAAATGATTTTTTAAAGCTATGGCCTACACAATAGATGATTCCTCGCAAATCATGATAGCTTTCAAAGTTGAATGGCCCTGTTCAGCTTCAAAGCTGATTTTATGTGGCAGGTGATGAAATAAGAGTAGACAGAGATATACGTGCTTTAAACACTCCACTATTTTTGAAAATAGGCTCATTTTCCAACTCCCCTAGAGTTAAACAGTTGAGTTTTACCGTTTTCAAATCCATTCAGCCGATCTCCGGGTCTGGCGGTAGCACTTTTAGCTGTAGCTTAGCATAGATCATTGAATCTGATTAGACCGTTAGCATCTCGCTCAAAAATGACAAAAGAGTTTCTATATTTTTCCTATTTGACACTTGACTCTTCTGTAGTTACATCGTGTACTAAGACCGACGGAAAGTGGAGTGTTTCTTTAAGAGAAGACACACTGTGCCTGATGAGATGATAGTTGTTCCTGCATGACTCAAATCAGCTCTGATGTCAAGAACAGGATGAGAACAGGTCTTTTTCCCGGTCAGAAAAAAAAACAAAATACAACAGTCAAGTCTCGTAAAGGCGGACAAGCAGTGGCCTATAATAAATAAATAAATAGTCTGGTGAAGTCAGAAAAGTATAATTAATACTAAAATGATAATTGATCATTAAAATTATTATTTTATTTTTTTTGCAAAAATAATAATAATATTGTATAAATGCATGGCTCAAAACAGCTCAGATGACAACAGATCTTTACCATTTAAAAATAAAATAAATAATAGTCTGGTGAAATCCTAGAAGCAGTATAATTAATAATAGAATTATAGTTATTAATAATTCTAATTATTAAAAATCGAATAAAAATTAAGTAATAATGTATATGGGCCATTCTATAGAATTGGTGCAAACTGCTGTCCCACACCAAAAAAAAAAAAAAAAAACCCATTTAAAAAGTATTTAAGTATTCAAAGCTTAGATGTTTACTAAGATCCTTCTATTATCTATTGAAACCCACAATAATATTTAAAATATCAGTAAGATTAATATATATAAAATCATAATTTATTGGGTACTTTCAATTGGGTGGTGGCTGTCCTGAACCCTAACCCCTAAATTTCAACTTAGGAAAATTATATTGAAATAATTTTTGTATTTTTTTCCCATTGTTGTTTTTAAAAAATATCTTTTTGTTTCTTTTAAAAAGTTAAAAATCTTTATTTTATATTTTCTTTGTAAATTATGAAACTTTATTTTAAAAAATGTGTCCCGCATTTTCATGTCACTACTAAAACAGTGCATGTTTTAGTCCATTGGCTGAGACTGAAATTAACTATACCCCTACATTTATGATCAGGAAATATTTATGTGTCACTCTCTCTCATAGCTACATGGTGAGTAGATTGGCCCCATCATTTTGAGGTAAATGTGCACAAAAATCTGAAAAATGTGTGATTGTAATTCTAAGGAATGTCACTACCAAACACCCTTTTTCTGCAATTAAGCACACTTTTTTGTGAGTTATTCCATATCATTTCATTTTTATGTGTGTACAACTGTTCAAAACTGTGCTAGCTAACCATGTGCTGATTAGCATCTTTGAGATAGGTTCAAAAGTATCTAAAATTGTCACTACCGAAACATGTCATGTTTTTCGTATTTTAGTATGTTTTACTAGTGTTTTAGTATGCAAGTTAAAATTCTGTAATGTGATGTGGTCGCTACCAAAGCATTACTGTCACTACCGAAAATGTGCAGTCACGACCGAAACATGGGATCTTTTGTCAAAAATAAAGTATACTGAATTATCAACTAAGATGTTATGATAGTTTTTGGTTCAATGTATATTCAAACTAATGAATCCTTAACTTTGAAATCAGTATGATCAACTTTTTGCCTTTTACAAAGAAAAATTGGATTAAAAATACAACAAATCTCATAAATTACACTTGAAATATTGTTAAAAATATAATTATTGATTTTCCTCTGAAAAAATTTAATAAAATAGCAAAAAAACAAAAAAAACAAAAACAAAACAAAAAAAAAAAATATTTATTTACAATGCAGATGCAAGCAAAATCTTAATAGGCCAATAAAACCCTTCTAAGTAAATTATTATTACTGTGTTTCGGTAGTGACAAATTTGGGGAGAGGACAAATAATCCAAAACTTTCTGAAAATACAATATGAGATTGTATTTAATTTACTAGAAATGTGTACCTTGGGTATTATACAATTTGCATATATACAAATGTTTTGGAAAAATAAATTTTTTTCCAAGACGTTTCCAACTCTGACTTTGGACCAATTCTGTAGAATGGCCCATATATGCATGATTCAAAACAGCTCAGATGTCAAGAAACAGATCTTTACCATCCAAAAACAATAAATAAAGAAACTAAAAATAAAATAATTACATTCTAAAACTAGTAATAATAATTATAATGTTTATTATGTATTTCTGGATTATCAGAACTGTGTTAAAGGTCAAATTACCTCAGACAGAAGGGAAAATATGACCTTTGAACTGGCTCTGCATCAGGTGTTTTCCCATAACAAATGCCTGAAACTCTTACTTGCAAGCGCACTGAAACATTGTAGTAACTATGAGGAATGATTTTTCCAGGAATGAGATGGGAAGTGTGGTATGCTGTTGGGGAAAAAATTTGCAAAAAACGTAAACTTCTTCTGGTAGTATATGATACAAAAAACAAGGTTTCGCCATTATTTTTAGATGTGAGTTTGCCCTTTTGATGCACTTTATACCTGGTATGACTCGATCATCTCGGAGTCGATTATATGAATGCTGAAAATTTTTACTTGATACAGTCTACCACAGAAGTGGCAATATGTTTGGTTGAAATACAAACTGCACTATTTCTCCAGGGTGTTACCACGTTTTTTTTTAATCTTACATCCCAACAAAGAACAGCCAATCAAACACAGCCCTGAGGATTATGACCTGATTGTTGCGTTGGAGTTCGAACTTTGTCCTGGGTGAGCAGAGGGACACAGACAGAGCATGGATTGATATTTTGGTTTTGTCCCATTTTTTTGGAGTTTTCAAGGATATTTTAGACTGCAGTACCCCTGGGTCACAGTAATGGAGCACTATTCAGACCAGGTAAGTTCCAATGTTTTTAATTTTCACTAGTTTTGCATGAAAAATTTGTATTAAATGTAGCCTGTTATCTAGCCTGCCTGTGTAATATCTCACACAGAGCAAAGTTCAAAGTTAAAAGTAATTTTTTCTGTCTTCTTGTTTCAACATTTGCTTGCCTTCAACTGTTTTGGCGCTTTGGTCCATTTTCTATCTTGTATTTTCCATTGAATCCCACTGACAACAAATGATATATACAGCAAATATATTCACTATATCTCAGGGCGGTGAAGGGTTAGAACTGCTCGATTTGCTCTTTGATAAGAATGACGGCATCTTACGGCATGAGACTGTGGGAACACAAAATGATCAGCTTTGGCCAGTTCAAGATCCTCATGTAAGTCTGGCTTCTTCCAAGTTTCTTCAATTCTTCGGATTTTAACAAATAAAAGGGAAAATTCACCCAAAAATTAAATTAAATTGATCATTTCACTTGGTATCCTTATGTCATTCCACATTTTTTTTGACATTATTCCTTGTGCAGACCACAAAAGAAGCTATTCTGAAGAATGTTCATGTGCATACAATGAAACTCAATGGGGTACAAAATTTGGACCCCACTGACTTTCACTGAATGGACAAAAACAGTTTTTTTTAAATTCTTCAAAATATCTTCTTTCATGTTCTGCAGAAGAAAGAATTCAATATCTCATCATTCACCATCCTGTATTTTTGATTGCCAGATGATGATGCCCGCTCAGGGTAATGTGGACTTCTTCAACGCACTTTTAGGTGGGTACAACTCTGTTTCTGGATCTCCAGTTTGGTCGCCCTCTCCTAGCGACAGCGGAATCAGCGAAGATCCTCATTCGGATCACATCGACAGTCCGCCGCCAACCGCAAGCCCTCCTTTGGAGCCTCGCATCGTCATATCCCAGGCACAACACAATCTTGACACCAACTTCCCAATTAATTTCAGTGAGTATCAAGTATTCGTAAAGCGAACCTTCCTGGTGACTCGAGACTCTGTAAACACAGATAATTAGCCTCCCACTTATTGATTCACTGCATTGTGCGCTGTTATGGTACATGCTCTGAAGATAAGCCCCTATTCCTGAGCTTTGTAAATCTCTCTACACGCAAACAAAGAAGGATAAATAGTATTATCTGTTGCTGCAGATGGCTGGGAGACTGGCTTCTTCCCAGACAGGGCTGGAGGGATGCAGCGCGCATCTGAAACGCCACAGGCACAACCGACCACTGGATTCCCCCTAACTGTCAAGGACCTGCTGCTATCTGGCACACCAGAGCCTGTGAGTTTGCACTCATGCGTGAAGCTAGGTAAAATACACAAGGCAGACTAGGGAAAAGGTGAACTTGAGTGCAGATGAAAGGTGAACTCGATAGGTTTCTGACCGTCCAGGCACACAGAGACGTTGATTGGATTTGTTACTTTCATGTCCGTTTGATATTCCAGGCCACAAAGGTTTCCCAGCAGTCCTACCAGGAGCTGGTTCTCACAGAGGATGAGAAGCGACTACTTGCCAAGGAAGGAGTGACTCTGCCAAATCAGTTCCCGCTCACCAAGGTACCGTCAGTTGGCAATTACACCACAATAGTAGAGCGCAGCCGATAGTCTTTGTAGCTCAATGTTTCTGCTTCCCTCCCATGATCAAGTACGAGGAAAGGATTCTGAAGAAAATCCGGCGAAAGATCCGCAACAAGCAGTCGGCCCAAGAGAGCAGGAAGAAGAAGAAAGAATACACCGACGGCCTGGAGAGCAGGTATTGACTGTTGTGCTCGAACAAATTAAGCAAAAGCGGACGCTACATGTGTTGAATCACAGAGTAAAAATCATAATCCGAGTTGATGAAATTAGCAGCTACTGAACACAACCCCCCCCCGGCAAAATACCAGGTGGAAGTTCAGTGCTGTGTCTGAGAATTAACTTGAGAGTGGATTTGATTACAACCTCTTTTCTTTTACATGGTTCTTATGGGAAATTTGTTTTTGTAGGATGGCGGCATGCAGTGTGCACAACCAGCAGCTGCAGAGGAAAGTCTTCCAGTTGGAGAAATGCAACATGTGAGGGAATCATTTACTTGGTAATCTTCACACTCCATACAGGCTCCTGAACTTGAACTTTTTACCCCGCTCTCTCCATTTCAGCTCCCTGATGGAACAACTGCGTCGGCTGCAGGCGTTGGTCATGAATGGATCTAACAAACCGGCCCAGACTGGGACCTGCATTCTGGTGAGGGTTAAAAGAAGCGATATTTGCACATGAAAGATCAAGGTATACAGTAATCATGCTTTGGGCATTTAAAATCACACACTACACACATACATAACACATAGCATTTTCTTTGACACTTGCTGCTGATTTCTCTCAGTGCAAGTCAATGTTTTTTCACCACAAACACATTCTCAAAACACATTCTTGGTCTTATTTTAAATTATTTATCAGTACATGTTATTCCAAAGAAACAGAAAAGTAAAAATTATGATTATGATTCCCATGCTAAAATATAATGCCTCTTATATATATTTATTTATAAAGACACATTTATACTTTGTAAAAAAAAAAATGCATGTTTGCAAAATTATTTTTTCATGAATTAAACTGGATTCCAATAAATTACTGAAAAATGGTATGGAAAATATTATCTATGCTTTTAGATGTATAAACCTGAAGAGAAGCATTTCCAATTTGAATCATTTATTCACAGATTCATACATACTGTTTCAAAGCACGTTTACAGAAAACATTGCCTTACAATCCACCATAAGCAATCCAAATTCAGCAGCAAGAAACAGTTCCTAGAAAGATACAAAACAAATACAAACTGTACAATCTAAAGAGGGAAAGATGAAACAAGATTACTTTTTAAATTTTCCAAAAAACTATATACAGATTTGTTATTTCTTACTATTGCTATTTCTTACTATTTTATTGTGTCACAAGAATAAAATCAAGATTATTTCAAGTCTTTCGAAAGCAGAATATGTTTCAAATGCCAAATTTTGTCTTTTTTTTTTTTTTTTTTTTTAATTTTTGTTCATTAAAGTATCATGGAAAAAAGTATCACAAAAATATTAAGTAGCACTGTTTTCATTATGATAATAATAATAAGAAATGTCTCTTGAGCACCATTTCTGAAGGATCATGTGACACTGAAGACGGGTGTAATGGCTGATGAAAATTCAGCTTTTCAATTACACAAGTAATATTAATTAAAATTGCCATTTGTGGTTGACTTCAATTCAGTAAATGTAAAAAACATATAATCTAAAGTCTCACACCGATGGTACATTTTGTTGTGTTTTATGAGGTGGCACAAGACTTGCTCTTAAAGAAATGCTCTTAAAGCAATCATCAGTGTTCCTCAAAAAGAAGAAGGCCAGGGAACTAAGTAATCACATAACAAGGAACTCCAATCTACAGCTACTTGATGACAAAAACGAATGTTACATCAAAGTTGTGCTTCAATTGCTGTTCGTGCTGCTACGCTCAAGCCTTCCATCTGCCTCTGTCCCTTAGGTACTACTTTTGTCTTTCACCTTGATTCTGCTGCCCAATCTGAAGCCCTTCACAGATACCAAGGTCAGCCAGCACGGAGACTTCAGCCCATTGAGAGGTGAGTTTTCTGGCCGAAACAACTTCTCCATCCAGTCCTTGAGGGGGAAAACCTATTATATATATATATATCGCCGCTAACTTGAGAGGAAAATGTCATGCTTGAAGAACAAGGGGTTCTTCAATCTGTGTAATGTATCATTTGGTTGACAAGCCATTAGGCTTGGACTGAAACCTTGTGACAGTTATTGGAAGTACTGAGAGAAGTGACGCGGACTAGAAGAATGGCAAACAGCTTAGTCATGTTTCCCACACGTTGAATCAACAGTGTGGAAGAAAAGCTGTAATTTGTCCTCATCAAACTGCTGTCAGTGATTCTGAAGGGAATCAATTCTTATTTTGCAGGCTAAGCGTAGGTCATGGTTAAAGTTTGGCGCACTTGTTCACAGTTTTGTTCAATTACGCTAACTGTTGAGCGCCACAGCTCTTTTGGATGGTTGAAGTTCAGGAATAAAAGAACAGGGGGAAACATGTCACAGCGTGACTTGTCTACGTTTATTTCCTCCATAGACATAAAATAACTAGAAATTCACTTTCTACTTCCTGCACTGTAGCTAGTCAAAACCAAGGTCATGAGTTTGATTATGAGGGATTGACAATATGTATAAAAAGTGTATGAATATCTTTGCATTATGGGTGTTTCTTCAACTTAGGGCACTTTTATGTTATAAAGGTTTATTAAAAACAGATTTCAACTTTTTGGCCTACGATGGTCACAAAAACTTAGAAAATCTTGGAAAGTTTAATCAAGCTGTTGTAAATTATTTTTATTATTACTTTTGAAATGCCCAGTACAGATTTTTTTTTAACCGTTGTCCAAGATCCAAAATTATAAAATCCATCATAAAAATATGAATTATTCCAGAGAAAAATATTATAATCTTAATAAATAGTGAAATATCGATTAACTATTTAATATTTATTGTGTAAAATGTTTTCTAGCTATTTTTCTAAAATAAATGAGTGCAATCATTTTCACCACAATTTTGCCTTTTTTCTATTTCTTTCAAAAGTTAGTGTACTTGATTACCAAGGAGACAATAGTGTCAGTAAAAAGATTAAGATGAAATATGAGACATGATGTGTGAAGAAACGAAAGAGAAATTAAGGTAGGTATCATTTGTGAACATAGTTTCAGTGTGTCATTTCCAATAAGCAAATGATCCAAAACGTGTGAAAATACTATTTTTGTGTATTTATGATACAAAATGTCAGCTCAGAAATGAGCCTTAGCAATACAAAAGGAGTCGACCATTTTATTCACAAAAACAAAAAGTTTAATTAGTAATTTACGTTTGTAAATTACAAGATGAAAACAATAATAGAATTCTCTCGTGATCTACACTGCTGTTCAAAAGTTTGGGATCAGTAAGATTTTTAATGTTTTAAAGAAGTCTCTTCTGTTCATCATGGCTGTATTTATTTGACCAAAAATACAGAAAAAAACAGTAATATTGTGAAATATTATTTCAATTTAAAATAATGGTTTTCTATTTCAATATACTTTAAAATATCATTTATTTCTGTGACACAAAGCTGATTTTTCAGGATCATTACTCCAGTCTTCAGTGTCACATGATCCTTCACAAATCATTTTAATATGCTGATTTATTATCCATGTTGGAAGCAGTGAATCCTGAGAAAAATATCACCGGTTCCAAAAAAATAAGGATCATGTGACACTGAAGACTGGAGTAATGATGCTGAAAATTCAGCTTTGCATCACAGGAATAAATTACATTTTAAAGTATATTAAAATAGAAAACCATTCTTTTAAATTGCAATAATATTTCACAATATTACTTGTTTTTTTCTGTATTTCTGATCAAATAAATGCAGCCATGATGAGCAGAAGAGACTTCTTTAAAAAAACATTACAAATCTTACTGATCCCAAACTTTTGAACGG